TATTTTAAATAAAATCCCTAAATGGCCATGGAAAACCATGTACAACAACTCCTGAACCCCTGCTGAAATTAAAGCATTATCAATGAAAATGGTGACCGTCATGCAGTGTTTGTCTGATCACAGGTACTTGTATGTGAACAGTCGAGCGTGGCCAGCAGGCTGTGTGATCTCTGACCCCATGTCCCCTCCGCCCATCGCAGAGGAGATCGACCTGCATGTGATTGATCTGAAGAGTCTTAGAGAAGAGCGCCGCAGCCTTCGAGCCCACCGGGCCTTCACACCCAACGATGAGTGCTTCTTTATCTTCCTTGATGTCAGCCGAGACTTTGTCGCCAGGTAATTTACAGCCCAGCCAGCTGTGCACATTTTATTCGCAGTAGTGAACAGATGTTTTTGGCCTGTTAACCAGTTCTGCCATTTGGAGTACAGTACATGCTATTTACCAGAATAAAGATGTACTAAGTAATTTCTTCTTTCTTCTTAAGTCAATTCTTTCACTGGCTGAAACGACACTGGTCTTGAATTTTATACCGTCAGGCAAACGGCATGTGTGTAGCATCAGGAAAATATTTTTGAAAAGCAGGCTTTTTTATGTTGTGGGAATAGCGTTGAGTGGATTCAATTCATCAAAGCATTTGAACGTTTAATAACAGGAATGTTTGCATGACTAATTAAGCGTTTAAGATCATTGTAAACTTGTAAATGATGAATGCATATAGAAAGTAAAGGGGAATTTCAGTGGTTTTTTCTTTTTCTTTTTTGAGGCTTTGAAAACCTTTCTTAATTCAAGTCATCAGTCATATCAATAGTGATAGGTACCAGTCAGAGAAAATCACATGACCATATGTGACCCTGGACCACAAAACCAGTCTTAAGTCCCTGGGGTATATTTGTAGCAATAGCCAAAAATACATTGTATGGGTCAAAATTATAGATTTTTCTTTTAAGCCAAAAATCATTAAGGATATTAAGTAAAGATCATGTTCCATGAAGATATTTAGTAAATTTCCTACTGTAAATATATTAAAACTTAATTTTTGATTGGTAATATGCATTGCTAAGAACTTCATTTGGACAATTTTAAAGGCGTCCAATTTTCTCAATATTTAGATTTTTTTGCACCCTCAGATTCCAGATTTTCAAATAGTTGTACCTCGTCCAAATATTGTACTATCCTAACAAACTATACATCCAATGGAAAGCTTATTTATTCAGCTTGTTTATTTATTTCGAGAAATCGACCCTTATGACTGGTTTTGTGGTCCAGGGTCACATATGTAAAATATGGCTCCATAATGTTATTGAAGCCAATAGAAATGACTAGACAAGCTGAAAGTCTGCACCAGAATATGAGCAAGATCTTATAAACTCAGGACAACACAGTACTACAGCTAGGTGATATATCTGATCTTTTTCAGACCTTTTGATGATATTTAATATATATATATATATATACAGTGGGTACGGAAAGTATTCAGACCCCCTTAAATTTTTAACTCTTTGTTATATTGCAGCCATTTGCTAAAATCATTTCATTGGCTTTGAAATGGCTTTAAAGAGTAGTATTTCTATTTTCCCCCTTTTTCTTTTTGCAATAATTTCCAAGAGGAGAATTTTTGGTGTAAATCATTCTCAAAAGCATTCTAATTTACTTCATGTAAGTAGCACAATCTTTTTAAAAACTATTTAAGGCTTGAATACACTGCATGACTTCTGCTTAGATTTAGAGTCTGGAGGAGTTGCTGAAATTCAAAGCCAGTCTTCTACTACTAAACCTTAACAATGATTAACGAAAACATTAATGTAAAATACAAAAGTCATCTGAACCATCAATAAATGTTTGACGAACAAAAGATCAAAAGGATTGAGTCAATAACTGCACTAGAAGTGTTAATTGTCTAATTCATGTAATTGTCTGTGTAGCGGGGCTGAGGACAAGCACGGTTACATCTGGGACCGGCACTACAACATCTGCCTGGCTCGCCTGAAACACGATGACGTGGTCAACTCTGTGGCCTTCAGCCCAGCAGACCAGGAGCTGCTGCTGTCCGCCAGCGATGACTCCACCATTAAAGTGTGGCGCTCGCCACGTATGGTGCGACTCGCTGAGGCACTCCAACACCCCCCTCGGGCTCACAAACTGCTCTCCTCCTTGTTTGGCCACAGAAGTGCTAATCTGAATGGTAAGCCCTGACCTAGACGCTGGCGGGGGCAACACATGAGGGAAGCAACACAGAAAGACACTCCATGAGCAGAGCGAAACGTGTGAGGTCAAGAAACTGAGGATTCCACGTGGTTCCTACAAGAACAAGGATACATGTATTCCTTAGTGGCCTTTTTGCAGGATGTACTGTGACCAACAGATCACTCACTGGGAGATGAAAAGCGATCTTTGCATAAAGAAACAACAACAAAAAAAGGTGTCTTTGGAATGCTATATTTCTGAAAGATCAATGATACACATGAAAACGTGGAAGACAGGCATCAACAGTATATGTGAATTCAAGAGCAAAGAACCAAGAATTCGAAGAGATATTAAGGTCACATTCACATATATGTGCGTCACGTGTGCAGTTTGTGAGTCCGTTTAACCCTGTCATAAAGAATGGAGCACCACTTTTGCATGTCTGCACGTTTGTAATTTCTGTATTTTTTTTTCTTCTGTTTTTAGTAGATGTTATACAAGCAACCTGATGATCATAACAAGGACATGGTCAGAGTATTGAAATACTAAAAGAGAAAAATTACAATTCTGCTACAAATTTACAGCACAATTATGTCACTGGTGTTTTATCTCTCTTCCAGTTTCATGTAGAGGAGCAATTTAACGTCATTACAGAACGACAATGCAGATGTTTACTCCTGAGCTTCCCCATCTATGCCTTTATTATTGAAATCAATTGTATCCTTTGTGCATATGGTTTGTGTCATACAGGTTTTAACAATCATACTATATTGAAAATGTAAAAAAAATCCAAAGACTCCAAGCCTTCATGTTGAACTTTTAGTTGTTCGCTTTATACAATCATTTGGTTTTAACTTGCACCAGTGCTGCACCTCTGTTATGGTGGAATATTTATTTTATATTTACATCAAGTATAACATATTTCATGAGAATTTGTGCAGGTGTGATTAATAAGACTACCAAAAAGCTGAAGAAAAAAGGTCAAACAACGACCATTTCATTTTCCATTATGTTTATTTACAGTAGGTGAGCTTCATTGAGATACTATGCAGCATCAGGGCAACTTTCTGTGTCATAAGCTTACATTATTTACCAGCATTAAATATTCAGCAAAGGTGCTCATTTGTTATGAAAAAGTGACTCTAAAATGCTCCCCCATGCCTAACATATATGATCTATATATGTAAAGCTCAGCTGTAATGTTAATCATGCGTATGACATTTTGTTGATTTCCTTTTGGTTCCTTGAGATTTTATTTATCTTCATCAGGCGATTTCAATCTGATCTCCTAATAATAATTTAGTTGGCGTTTGGATCATGGCGTGCAGCATTCATCTCTGTAGTTGCGAGTACATCAATGGTTTTGTTTTTAATGGACCTGATTCCCTGTGTGACATTTGTTTGCATCTGATTTTCCCACATGCTCAGTAGATTTTGTATTGTGGGATGTGTACAATTTGTTTTGACCCATTAAACTATTTTTCTTTTACCAGACGCAATGTGAATTTCTTGTTTTTATATCCCATGTTTGTATTTTTCATAAAGATTAGGACTGGATAAAATATACATACCTCTTTAGAGAAAAGATCATAAACTGTTTTTTTGGTATTACAAATGGATATGGTTAGCATACAACAATTTTGCATTTCAGAAAAATCATTAAATTATATATATATATATATATATATATAAGAATTATTGGATCATGAACCCGACACTCTGCTTAGACAAAAAAAAAAGAAAAGCGATTGTCATACATTGTATTATAGCACTCTAGTACTGATGCTAATAAAATTAGTATTTTAATATCTATACAAAAACTAAAAATGACTTTAACTGCTTGATTGAATATATAAATGATAGCTAAGATATAAATCAATAAATGACAGCTAAATAGTAAAAGGTAAAAGGTACTACACACAATTTCATAAAAAGAGTTACATGAGTTTTTCCCATATTTAACAGCATGAAAATTCCTGCTAAAAGTACAGTATATGCATAAAATAACCAAAGCTTCGGGTCACAGAACATGTCTTATATGTAATATTTCTGTATTACATACATTATTAAAAGTAGGTATAGTTAAAATATAATGTGTATTATACATATGTAATATATAAATATGTATTATAATGAATATATATTGTTTTAAATATTGAGTTACAGTGGTGTGAAAAAGTGTTGGCCCCCTTCCTGATTTCTTATTTTTTTGCATGTTTGTCACACTTTAATGTTTCAGATCATCAAACAAATTTAAATATTAGTCAAAGATAACACAAGTAAACACAACATGCAGTTTTTAAATGAAGGTTTTTATTATTAAGGGAAAACAAAATCCAAAACTACATGGCCCTGTGTGAAGAAGTGTTTGCCCCCCTGTTAAAACTGTGGTTTATCACACCTGAGTTCAATTTCTCTAGCCACACCCAGGCCTGATTACTGCCACACCTGTTCGCAATCAAGAAATCTCTTAAATAGGACCTGCCTGACAAAGTGAAGTAGACCAAAAGATCCTCAAAAGCTAGACATCATGCCGAGATCCAAAGAAATTCAGAAACAAATGAGAAAGAAAGTAATTGAGATCTATCAGTCTGGAAAAGGTTATAAAGCCATTTCTAAAGCTTTGGGACTCCAACACCACTGTATATCAAAATAGTGCAATTGTTATGGAAGTTGTTTGAGCACTGCCACTCCATACAAGCACATAATTTTACTATTATTTCTCAAAATAAATCAATATCTAAATATAATGTTATCATCATTTATATTATTATTTATATTATATTATATTAAAATTGTTTGGCTTCCGCAGCTGAGATATAATAATAATAATAATAATCATAATAATAATAATATCAATTATCATTATTAATAAATCCAATGCTTTATAAGCCAGTGAGGTCGACTATGGCTTTAATAAATATGGTGTCATCTCTCAGATACGAGCTTTTGCCTGCCAGCTTGGCGAGAGGGCAGAAGAGAGGACAACCACTGGCTATGTTCATTTCACTGATGGGTCTCTGGAAGGATGTGGAGCTCACGTCAGGCCTGAAGGCATCAATGATGTGCTCTCTGTTGTTCTGGTCCAACAACATCAATGTCACCTGGAAGGAAAGAACAGGAAAGTGACAGGAATTGCAATCCATGTAATGCCAAGCTCATGTTCTGAAAGTTATACTGGACATTAGATGACAGAACAGTGTAACGTCCGTTTCACACTGGATGCACAAGCAGAGCAGAGGCAGCACAGGAGCTGTTTGTATGCAGAGTGGGAGCAGCATGCGCCCATTGTGCTTTCACACTGGCAGTGTTTGTCACACGCAGCTGAACTGCAAATAAAGAGGAGAATCTTCCACTCGGTTTATCAGCTGTTCTCCTCCTACCACTGTCCCCTGTCTATCGTGTGCTTTGATTGATGGGCAGTGACCGTGTTCCCCTTCTACTGTCCCGCACACATATGCATATAACATGCTGTACAGTGGGTATAGAAAATAATCATTTTGTTGCTTTGCAGCCTGAAAGGAAGAAATGTTTGTTTTATCCAGCTGTATTTACTCAGTGCAACTTATAACATCCAAGTGAAATATATAACACCAACATGTCAGGAAAAAATAAAAAATAAAAAACCAGAATCAATGGCTGTATCCGAAAAACTTAGGCAGCTGACTTGCTGCCTCGCTGCCATATGAGGCAATGACTTTGCAGGCAGGGTTTCTGCATGAAGGCACCTCATAAAACTGATTCCGGCCAGGCTTCTGAGGCAGCGTAACGGTTTAATGATCTACAACGAGTTTTTGTGATAACTAAACGAATATTTAATTACTATAATACTGATTTCTCGCTAGAAATATCATCAAAAGTTAGTCAGAAATATAAATTTACACACAAACTGGCCACCAAACGCAACTTCCAGATGCCATCTTTATTTTTTAGCTCAACCGTCACGGAATTGAACGCACAGGATTGTGGGATATCAAAGGCAGCGAAGGATACATCTATGCTGCCTTCAAAATTCAATCAGAAGAAGGTACCACTGGAGACAGGAAGTAAAGCAGAATTTGGATTCGGATGTGCCTTGATGCCTTCCTGCCTTGGAATGCTGCCTCCGAAGGCAGCATTTTAGAGTTTTCGGATACAGCCAATGAGTTGGAAAAAGGATCACCTCCTCCTAAAAGCGACTTGTAAACTCAATCAGGTGTAGCTAATCACCTTCTCAATGGCACACAAAGCCATTTGACTTTCAACTGTGATCAGCTGTGGTCATTTTGATTAACTCAGCATGAAAAGAGCTTTCCTGGAGCATTTCAGTCCTTGGTAGTGCAACTGAAGCAAACAATCAACTATGAGTGGCAAAGTACTGTCAAAAGATCTCCAGGATAAAGTTGTGGACAGGCACAAGTCAGGAGATGGATACAAAAAATGTCAAAGGCTTTATCAATGCCGAGAGGCACAGTGAAGTCTCTTATTAAGAAGTTAAGAAAGTATTTGGTAAAACACAGACCCTCCCTGGATCAGGACGTTGCTCCAAACTGGATGAAAGAGCCGGAGTAAACTGGTCAGAGAGGTTACCAAGAGGTCTACAGCAACTCTGAAGTAGCTGCAGGAATTTATGATAAAGAGTGGTCATTGTGTGCATGTGACAACAATATCACACATTCTCCACAAATGTGGCTTTTATGGGAGGTTGCAAGAAAAAAGCTACTCCTCAAGAAAGGCCACATGCAGACACAACTGAGCTTTGCCAAAACACACCTTGAAGATTCTGGGGCAGATGAGGCTAAAATTGAATCATTTGGCCTCAACACCAAACGGTCTGGCGGAAATCCAGTACAGCTCACCATCCAAATAACAGCATTCCTCCAGTAAAGCATGGAGGTGGTAATGTTCTGTTATGGGCTGTTTCTCTGCAGCAGGGACTGGAGCACTTGTCAGGATAGAAGGAAAAATGGATGGGGCAAAATACCATCAAATTCTTGAGGAAAATCTGCTGCCCGCTGCCAGAAAGTTGTCAATGGGAAGAAGGTTTACCTTCCAACAGGACAATGACCCAAATCACACAGCTGTGAAAAAAACTGAGCACACAGTGGTTGAAGGAGAAAAAGGTGAATGTCCTTGCATGGCCTAGTCAGAGCCCAGACTTAAAACCCATTGAAATTCTGTGGAATTTTTTATTTTTATTTTTTCTGACATGTTGGTGTTATATCTTTCACTTGGATGTTATAAGTTGCACTGAGTAAAGACAGCTGGATTAAAAAAAAAAACCTGTCTGTCTTCATTTCAGGCTTCAAAGCAACAAAATGTGATTATTTTAAAGGGGGGCTGATTCTTTTCTATATCCACTGTATATACGTAGTTTACATGATAAATGTAATCTTAAAGTTAAATATACCTCTAGTTTTAATCCTTTAAACAGGCCATTGAAGTTTGGACAAAAACTCCTGGCAATGATGAGTTTGTGATTTTTTATTTTTTTTTTCACAGCGCTGAATGTCATACGGTGATTGAGAAAAATGGAACACCTCACTTATTTGATTTTATGGTAAAATTAGTTAGTTTTCGTGGTAACTGAGGTCTATTTTAACCAAGAACAATGCACTGTGGCTTTAATTCAGAGTGAGCGGTGTAGAAAAAAAAAAATAGACTGCCACTTCTGCTTTGCTCCTGCTATCTCTGTGTGCTGTGTAAATGCTCTAACCTGTTAAAATGGGCACCGAATAAATACATTCTGCTTATGCATGCGGTGTGAAACAAGCCTAACACTTTCTTTAAACTAACACGTAGTTAAACATTATACATACTTGCTATAGAAATAAAAAGCAAGCATAATTACAAGTAACTAACCATAAAACAAACCCTACTCCTAGCATTAACCCATTAGTAGTTTATGTAACCCTGTAGTTACATTAATTACATATAGATATATAATATTACTGCTTATGTCTACACTGTAGCAACATCACCTTAAAATAGTTTAACCCACAATACTAAGCCTTACTTAAAACAGTTATTTTCACAACCTCCAACACCTTAATTAATTTAACAGTCTGCTTATTAACAGTCAGTTGTGCATGTAATATTCAATACAATATATTTATATAAACTGTAGTGTACAACAAAATAGCCACAACATTCAGTCCCTGCTATAAAAGTTTGCATCCAAACAACACGAGTGGTATTGTGATGCTTTAGTTGATATCACATCCCTAAATAAAATATCAAAAATAGTATCAAATAATTTACCTTCTGGCTAAAGGGCCACTTCAGCAGTGCATCATATTTGCCCCTCATGACCACAAAGAACAGAGAAAGGTGAGTGCCCCGACCTGTGCCATCACCATTCAGGTAGAGTCTCAGACACATCTTATACCCATATTTACTGGAGTAGAACGCTAGAGAATAAAAGAAAAATAGATCAAAATTTAACCAGGACTCAGGGGAAAAAATATTACTAAAGGTGACTAAAATGCTAATATGCTACTAAAATCAGCTTCGAACACTGAATGGGAAGAAATCATTCCCAAGACTCCCAAAAATGTAAAACTGCTTCTCGGATTGAGAATTAGTTTTAATTAACAGATTTAACTGAACTTTACTTTGGCATAAAAGACAAATAACACTTGAGTTTTTACTAATATATTTTAAAATACAATTAAATATAATTAAAAAAATAATAATTATATAAATTATACTAAGTTTAATTTAAATTAATTGATATAACTGAAATTATTTAACTGATATAATTATATCAAGTTATCAAGCGTGTGTTTATAAACACACATTAAGAAGTTGGGGTGGTTAATATGCTCAAATCTCTAATTAAAACAATAAATTGTAAAATATTACTACAATTTCAAATAAATGTTTTCTATTTTGATATATATTAAAATGTAATTTATTCTTGATGGCAAAGTTGAATTTTCAGCAGCCATTACTCCAAGTCTTCAGTGTTACAAGACCCTTCAGAAATCATTCTTATATGCTGATTTGGGGCTCAAGTAACAATTTATATTATTATTAATGCTGAAACAGTGCTGTGCTGCTTACAAGTTTTGTGGAAACTGTGATGCATCTTTTTCAAAAATTTTTGATGAATAAAAAGTTAAGAAAGCATTTATTTTAAATATGAATTACATGTAACATTATAAATGTCATAATTTTGAATTTAATGCATCCTTGCTAAAGTATTTCTTCCAAAAAATAAAAATAAATAAATAAACAAAAAAATCCCCCAACTTTTGAATGGTATTGTTTTTCAGTAAATATCAGATTGGCGCAGGGCTGTCCAAACTCGGTCCTGGAGGGCCGGTGTCCTGCAGAGTGTAGCTCTGTTTTTCAGTAAATATCAGATTGGCGCAGGGCTGTCCAAACTCGGTCCTGGAGGGCCGGTGTCCTGCAGAGTTTAGCTCCAACTTGCCTCAACACACCTGACTGGAAGTTTCTCTGCCTAGTAAGAGCTTGATTAGCTTGTTCAGGTGTGTTTAATTAGGGTTGGAGCTAAACTCTGCTGGACACCGGCCCTCCAGGACCGAGTTTGGACAGCCCTGGGCTAGAGAGACCTCAGGGCTCTTGATGAACTTGATGACACTACGAAAGTGAAAGTCAGCAGTTCTGCCAAATAGAGGAAGATCCAAATGTCATAAAATGAAAATGAATGTAGGAACATGATAGGTCTGCTATATAAACAACCTTCACATAAGCTTGAAAAATTTCCAAGTCAGGGCGTTGTACCACAAAGGGTCAAGACCCTCAGAATGAAACCAGACAAGTTGTACTTGCAGTACAATTTACAAAATGCAACCTAGAACATTCCCAGTGCACAAGTTAAGTTAAATCATCAGCATCTAATGACCATGTAAACATTGTATAGATTATTCTCAAATAGTCACCCCTTGGTAATAAAAATAAATAAATATTTACAATAACACACAGAAATATTCAATTACAATAATAAAAAGAATCGACTAAATGCAGGAAATGCTGTCAATCGATCTTAACCTGTATTGGACCTGCAACAGTCCTTTAATCTGATTTTAACCTTACCAGGTGAGAACATGGCAGGTGCCCGGCCCCCCACTGCATCTTGTCTGCGACGAGAGAAGTCTGCTATTTTCCAAATGAAAACTCCATCATGTGTACAAAACTGCAGCTCCCGCAAGGACTGCTCCGAATCTGCTAACTGCAGATCTCGCATGGTTAAAGTCCGTTCCAGCTGTCGCACCTTCAAGAGTCACCAAACACAGATGAGAAACAGGGTTATGAAACTGCCAAGAAGCAACATTGTTGTAATAATGTAATAATGACATACTAACATTTAAAGGATATATCTACACAATCCTTTATTATTTGTGTCTGAGATTTAAGAAAGTTTGTGACACTCGTATCGACAAATGACCTTTTGTTCAATGGAGTCTATGGTTCTATGATAGGAACCTATGATAGGTTCTATGATAATCAACTGCTAAACAGCAGTGTAGCTTAAGTATAATGATGTGCTGACGTGTAGAATAAATAAACAGTCTATTGTGTCTTTCTTAGATGTAATTTCATGAGCAGCTCTTGGCGACACTGGTACAAGGTCTTTGGTTCACTGGTGTCTATGGTAATTGTTAAAAGAGTAGGTTTGTCATTAAAGGAATAGTTAAATGAAAATGTACTCGCCCTCAGACAATTCTTCTTCGGAACAGATTTAGTATTACATCACTTGCTCTCCAATAGATCCTCTGTAGTGAATGGGTACCGTCAGAATGAGAGTTCAAACAGCTGCTAAAAGCATCACCATAATCTATAAGTAATCCACACGACTCCAGTCCATCAAATAACATCTTGTGAAGTGAAAAGCTACGTGTTTGTAATAAGCAAATTAATCACTAAGATGTTTTAACTTCAAACCATTGCTTCCGGCTAAAAATACGAGTATATTCTATCCATATTATTTTTATTGTGAACAAGTCATCTCTTCTGAATCAGGAGAGAAATGTGCACAGATTGTTTACAAGCACAAAAAAAGTTCTAAACAAATATGTCTGTGGATTTTGATGTTAGAGGACAACAGGGAATAGACTCATTCACTGGAGGAAGTGTTGTTATGGACTAGGACTGGTAATTTGGCCAGAAGTAACGGTTTAAAGTTAAAATGCCTTGATGGATTTGAATGTTTCTTACAGACAAGCAGCTTTTCACTTCACAAGACTGGACTAATTGATCGGCCGGATTACTTGTGGATTATTGTTGTTTTTATCAGTTGTTTGGACTCTCATTCTGACGGCACCCATTCACTGCAAAGGATCCACTGGTGAGCAAGTGACAAAGACAAATTTGTCAAAATCTGTTCCGATGAAGAAACAAACTCATCTACAACTTGGATGGCCTAAAGGTGAGTAAATTCTCAGCAAATTTTCATTGTTTGGCTGAACTATTCCTTTAAAGGACAATTTCTGTCAACATTTCATCTTAATTTTTGGTTAAAGTACTCTTTTAACCCAATGATCAACTGATCAATTATCAGAAAGTCTTGGATGGTCTCCACTTTATATCCCATGTGACTGAAGGCTGATGGCAGAGACAGCAGAGGCTCTTCTGCTGAAGGAGGAAAAAAACTCACGTTCTTGTTTCACAAGTAACAGCGAATGGAGGCAAATCTCGCTAATAACTTTAGCTTTTGTAGTAAAGCTTTTTTTAATATAAACTGACTTTCAAAGCTAGTATGACTTACTTTTTTTCCGTGGAAAACACAGAACTCCCCTTTAGGGGAATACCTTGGTACTGGGGCAGTGCGCTTAAAGCAACATCTTTATATCATTTTTTTACCTTAAGGGTACATATTACTAATCTAAGGTAATATTTATCTAAAAGCGAAGTTTGAATATTCAAGATTTATTTTAAAAACAAGGCATTTAAAAAAACAGATTTTCAGTGAATGATTTAAATTTCAGTCATAACTCACAGAAACATATCAACGTTTCAGAAGTCGTATAGACCACTTATCACTGTATATTGCTTTTTGCCAATTTTGGAGATCTGCCCCCCTTCACTTTTATTATATTGAAAAGTTCTTCAGAATTTCTTTGTGTTCCACGGAAGAAAAAAAGCATACAGGGTTTGGAACTACAAGGGGGAAGAGTAAAATATGACAGACAAATTTGTGTAAACTATCCCCTGAAGTAAAATGTTCCACCAGCATATCATAAAACAAGATCGGTCAATACATCATAATGTGTTACCTGCAAGGTGAGAGCCTCGCATCATGCTCTGACACACAGCAGAGCATCAAAACCATCTCTGCTGTCCGAAACTTAACGAGCGTTTGATCTGAACTATATAAGTGTATAATTTCCTGCAAAGTGTGCGTAGTACCTTGTTTGCCAAATTCTCTATCTTCTCCTGGTCTAGCCGATGTTGCCGGGATAGAGCCTCCATGGTGAGGGCCGAGCGCTCCACTTCCCTATTCAACACACACACTATGTTCTCCAATGCTGTGACTTTCTGCTGTACACCAGGACCGCCTCCTCTTCCTGCATTAGGGGCAACAGCATGAGCCCCCGCTGGAGGTGCGTCTTCAGGTCCACGATACAATCCCAGTCCGGAATCTTCCTGCCACTCTCCAGCCCCCTCAGCCCGCAGGCGCACGGAGGACAGCGCACCCAGCATGAGACGCAAATGTTCCATCACGCTGGTCTGCTCATGCTCCTGCTGCTTACCATTATCAACCTATGCAAGAAAAAAAAAAACTATATTAATACTACTTTAAAAAGGGTTACATAAAATTATGTAAAAGCACTTCTTTGATGTTAAAATTACTTTATTCATTTACGTTGAAATATGTCCTTTGGTTACCATAGGGTAAAATTTATGATTGGGACTATAATTTGCAATAGTTTTAGCAACAATGTATGATATTGTTTCAGTCAGAAAAGGTGCATTATCTGCTCCTGCATTCAGTATAAAAGGCAGACTGTCTGATCAAAGTGTTGGAGTGGCAGTATAATATTTATTTTTTTATTTTTTTAACTGAAAATACTGAATGATAGTGTTAGTGGTGAGTGAAGTGGCATTTGCAATATTCTTTATAGGCTGTAGTTTACAATACTGTATTGCCATTGGTAATGTCTATAATCATTGAAATGATATAGGTAGGAGTCAGTGAAGTCCTTCGCTGTCAGGCTGGTACTGTATAAGTTGTTTTGCAGTTGTCTCTAAATCATTGTTTGAATAGTGTTTCTAGGCATAGGCAAACTAGGCTGTCGCCACAGGCACCACCAGCAGGAGGGGGGCGCCAATGAGCGCAAGTACTTGCACTACATTTTAGCAGGGTTTGCCATCCTGAAATATGATTGCCGCCCCCAATGGATGCTCCAACATCATTGGGCTAGAGTACTGTCAATCTGACGATGCCCGTATGCCATTGGATCAGAGTGCTGTCAATTGCTGCCAGATTGTTGCATGCAACACTTGCATTTGGAGCACTTAACAACACCATTAGATCAATGGGTTCTGTTAGTGCTTTGGCAAGGTAACGATTTTTTTTTTGCCATGCATTAAAGCCAAGTTCAAAGGCCAGTTTAAAATAGTTGTACAAGTAAAAAGTGCACAAAATCAGTATTTTGTTAGGGCAGTATTTGTGGCAGTCGAGAAATCATGCTGCAAATTTGGTCCAAAAGGTGTGTGTTTTTGCGACAATGCATTGTTAAAGAATCAGTGTGTTGTGTAATATTCCCATATAAAACTTTAAAGGCCAATTAAAAAATATTGGCATAGTAAAATTAGCTAATTCACAAGATCAAAACATCCTTTATTAAACCGCTTTGTCAAATTTAACGAATCCTTACGGAAGTGTCGAAATGCTGAATCATTTCATCCACTTCTAACAGTGCTTAATGGGAGCAGCGTCATACACAGAGGGCAGAGCGTCGCGTCATTTAAAGGCACAATATGTAAGATTAATGTAAGAATGTAAGAATAAAATATCCAAAAACCACTTGCACATTGTTATATATTTCATGCAGTTGTGCACTTACATTATCCCAAAAGTTCCCAAGGATTTGTAAATCCAGAGAAATTCAAATTTTAAATAATGGCTCATCCCGGTTCATTGTCACCTATCAAATGACGTAATATCCGCGCAATCAGTTTCCGCTTGCAGAAACTATGGCAACACACGTGGACAAAAATGCTGCTGCAGTTAAACTAAATCCATTACGGCAGTCGTGAATAAAATGAAAATGAAATTAAAAGTGTTGACTCGACTGCAGCATTAAATTCAGATCTGCTCAATGTTGCACCATGAATCTTTTTCCGCGTTTTTACAGTGTTGCGCGTTATAACCAATCACACACAAGTCTGTTGAGTTTATGAACGCAACGGCCAATCAGAAGCGTATAGATGAGTCATCGCTGAAACACCGGAGTTTTGTTCAGTGCATGCACTCGCTGAGTGTATTCTCTCATCATAAACAAAGTGCAGATGTACGTATGATGCAAGTTGGAGATTTATTCATCAAACAGTGTATAGACAGCTTTACTGATTATAAGGGGAGTTTTTTGAGTGCTTAAACTCGCCCCAATGATTCACCAACCTACAAGTACACAAATTACAGTACTGCATACATTTAATACCTAGCAATGTCATTAAGTTTGGGACTTTTCTAACCCACACTCCAGACTATTTACATAATTTGGTTCTATTTTAAAGCCATGTGGAAAACTATGCACAAATTGAAAGTCTCAAATAGATGCAGTAGTTCTGACAAAAATTATTAGTTGTGACAAAATTATTTCAAGGCTTTTGAAAGTTAAGAAGAATTTCAGAACGGCTTAAAGAACGTTTTAGTCACAAAATACTACAAATGAAATAAAATACTTTCTGCTGGCTAACACTGTAACACTAAATTCTCAACAAGCTAATTAACTAGGCAACTCAGAAATGCTTGGCATTTTTCTACTCCGCAAATAGGCAGTAGATCTTCTTTGAACAATATTTTCTCACACAGCCTCAATTCTATTCTGAATTTAACTACATTCATGAGAAACAAATACACACCACTGCCCTGCAGCCAATCTCACTGAACTGGCACGCAGATTTAGACTTTGCACAAGACTTGATGTGCTCTTGAAACTGCAAAAAAACAACAACAAAAAAAACAGGGGAGAAAGTCAGAAAAAAGTCAACACATGATTATGACAACACATGATTAGAAGCATTGTGTGAATGAAAAAAACATGTTTCCGAGGTTAATATATATTTAACAGTGTTTACATTCATACTGACAAATACTGTAATTCAAGCAGAAACCATTTATGGCTGAGAACTCAGACCAACCTTCTCTCTGGGGATTTTCTTCTTACCACAGTCTTTGCATTGCATGGGAAACTTCTGACATATTTCATCATGGGCCTGTGACAGAAAAGAGTAATGAATGAAGGAGAATCAGCAAAGATGATATGATATCAACAACAACTATTTTGCTCACCCTTTGTGCTTCAACCCCTAAGCATTTCATTTACTTAATCATTCATAATTTACTTTATGAGTTGAAAGTAAATGATAAGAATCATTCATTTCAGTTCAACTATCCTGTACAAGAAAAATTCCATAATGAATTCAGTCACATTCTATGATGTATTATGCAATGCTTTTATAGAGGAGTTAATAAAAAAAAAAAAAAAACACTTCATTACCCTTTGCCCTAATAGCAAGCTAGTTAAATTAAATATTGCAACAGCTTGAGTCTGTTGACACTAGGGGTGTGAATCTTTACTTGCCTCATAATTCGATTTGATTCGATGACCATTCAAAAGGTAACAATTTGATTATAAAGCAATTCTTGATGTATCAGGGTGCATCTTTTCCTCCAATTCTTTTATTAATAATATTATAATAATAATAATAATCACAATATAGTTATTTTTGTTATTTTGTCTTTAATAAAGAACGAAGATGCAAATAACAAACAGTAGAACAAGTACAAGAAACAAATTAAATGAACAGTGCTTTACATTTTTTAATTGTAATCTATTTAACAGAATCATTAAAGAAATAATACAGAAACCAAATATTCAAATGTAGAAGTTACTGCATAGTCTTTAGTGTATTAATTATAAATAAAAATATTATTATTAAAGGGGGGGTAAATCAGCTTTTTTCGAACTTCCTGACTTCCTGGTTCTATGAAGCCCCTCCCTCAGAAATACGCAATGAGCTCAGATTGGTTAGCTGGCCCAGTTTGTTGTGATTCACTAACCGCCTAGTGCACGTTGTCTGAAAATATCATGCCCCTTACCAATACGGGTAGTTGTATGTGCTCCGGTGTATTGTAAACAATGGCGTCAATAATGCCTTGTCAATTTGAGCCCGAATTAGACCCAGAGAATATTAGTGAAGACAATCGAGCAGAACCTGTGCAAGCATGGCTCTTACAGGAGGTTTCAGAATGGTATGTTTTTTTTGTTTTAGTGGTCTCATACTTTTTAGATACGCTGTTATTTGTAAATGCTACTGCTGTTTATGTTAGCTTTTGGTATACGTTTTTATCCTTAGTAAAGCTTTAGGTACAGCAGAATACATGATTGCACTGTAGCATTTTTGTAGAGTAATTGTTTAATTTATAACAGTAACAAGTGTTTGTTTATTAAGAAAACAGCGGGCAGGGTTTATGTAAATTTTAGGGTTTGTGATGTCACCAACCCGGGAAGAAGCTCGTTTTATGCTGCGTTCAAGTCCTCCTGGGACGTTCGTACTTATGAGTTGACAAGTCGTAATTACGACGTCAGGTGCGTTCAAGTCAGTTTAGTCGGCACAAGATGGTTATTACCTTCTTTTAATAAATTACAAGAAAATACAACAGGGTCTCTTAACTCTGCTTATAGAAAATGAAGAGCAAAGAATTCGCATCAGGTGTGTTTTGCGTTTTTTTATATATTTTTTTAGACCAGGATCCCAGTATAACTGATTTTCAGCATCAACAAATGCTAAAATACAGAGAATAAAAAAAGCTGTTAGCTAAATGCAACATGGCAAATCAAAAAGATTTTTCACCTATAATGCAAAAATTATAGAATTTTTTTTACTTGTATTTCATTAACTAGCTGCGTAACAAGAACATGACCAATTTAAGTTCATAGGACAACTAAACTATCAATTTAAACAAAAATTTACCGTCAACTACAGACGTTGCATCCATCGATTCCGCCATGTTTCTCATTGACACGCCCCCAACTCGGAAACTCGGGGCTTAAAGAAAATTTCGAGTTTCCCACTCGTAATAACGACTTTGTGGTGGCGTTCATGTGCGTTCAACTCGTAAATACGACCTATCTGACATGACTTGAACGCACCAGTAGTCCCTACCAGCCGTGTGTTGTAGGCCTTAAAAAGCGAATTCTGTAAAATCAAATATCTCCCTTTGCATTGAACTAACTGAAGTTAAAAAAGTGAAATCACAATCAAGGACCCCTTTAAAACTACAAAAGTTATTTAGTCAAGATCAGTGAGTGATAACCTTTTATTTTGTTGTTTGATTAACATTAATGGCACAGACATCAGCAGGTTTATATTACGACCTAATCAGAATCAGAATGAGCTTTATTACCAGGTATGTTTACACATGAGGAATTTGTTTTAGTGACGGAAGCTCCACAGTGCAACAGACTGACAGTGACAACACAAGACACAGATAATAAAACGAATAATATAAAAATAGACAAAATAGACAATGTGCAAAATAGCAAAAACACAATATACAAAATAGCACAGATGCACAGATCTAATATAATGTTACACATCAGATTACATGTGTAACATTATATTACACTTATTGGCTTATTGCAATTAATAACTCTCTTCCCGCACTGTTTTCGCATTCATGCATTTTCTTTTTGTGAAAATTGAAATGGAAACATTAGACGCAAGTGCTTTTTTTGTGAAGGACATAAGCAATTTTTTTTAAATAGCCTATAGTAGGAGTACTTTATTTACTATAAAACAATACATTAATATGTATGATAGGTCTATTTAATAAAAATTTTTAAAAATCATTTCTTTTATTTTCACATTAACATCGCGATCGTAAAAATGGTTATATTCCGCAGCTCTACCTGACACAGCAAAAACAAGTACACGAACTATAAACCACTCAGTAGAAAAAAACTTAAAGATAGACCACTTCTAGGATGTGGATTACCTTAATTTCTTTAAAGTTGAATGCGACCTTGCAGTATTTGCAGTTCAGGGTTCTGGCCTCACATTCCCGCTCATTGTGGCGGTCTTTCTCACTGACCAGGATGAGTGCTTGACATGCTTCACATTTTACACGTTCAAAGTCACAACGACCTTCATGTTGACCCTAGTGAAGAAAAGTAGTATCTGTAAATGTTTAGCTCAAATGCTATGTTGAATGGAAAAATACCACAGTTAGTGTATTGTGTAGGATTCAATTCCTAAATTGTGCCCCATTCACAATAATCTTGAGAATGTGAATAGATTTTTATAGCTGTTGTTCATGTCCTTTATTCCCATGAGATGTATATGCATTTCCTGCTTTTTAAGTTATTAAATGGTCACAAGAGATCACTGGCTGAAACTAATTAAACCATTGGAATTAAACCACGCCATGCTGGTTTCGTCTGGCCAGAGGAGAACTGGCCCCCCAACTGAGCCTGGTTTCTCCCAAGGTTTTTTTTCTCCATTTCTGTCAGCAATGGAGTTTTGGTTTCTTGCCACTGTCGCCTTTGACTTGCTTAGTTGGGGACACCTAATTTCTGGCAATATTGTTGACTTGATTGCACAGACACTATTTGAACTGAACTGAGCTGGACGATGACACCACTGAATCAATGATCAACTGATATTAACTGGAAAATTGAGTGTTTTCTATCACAATCTGTATTGTATAAAGCACTATATAAATAAAGGTGACTGAAAGTACATAATGACCTTGTGGACAAGACAGTCACAAGACAGAACAAGCGTGTCTGCAAAAGAATTTCTGCTAATTTGCACAGTTTCAGAAATCCCTGAGAATTGGGGTAAACTGCAACACTACTTAAAGGGATAATTCATCATCATCAAAAAAAAAATATATATATATATTAATTACCCACATTTATGTAGTTCCAAACCTGCATTACTGACCTACTAGGAGAAATTTAAATGTACTAGTTAATCTTTTTAAAATGTAAAGGTTAAAGCTGCAGTCCGTAAGTTTTGCCTCTTTGTCGCCATCTCTGTTTGAAAACCTGGAATTGCAGCTGTGCGGGGAATTATCTAGCTTGCGTGGGTTGTGAGTCGGCACGGCTCCAGCGCGGATGAATCTAATGTTCTGAAGAGTATGTGTGGCAGTCAGTCACCGCACCGGTGTGGATATTTACTGTACTTCGCAATCACAGATTCTTACCTACGTCTTGGAATATGACCCAAATAAGAATTTTCACCGTATATTTCCATCTGAACAAGGAAGTAACAAGTCTGCCACATTTGTTCTGACCAACTGAGGAAAAAAGCTAAAAAGCAAATTATGCTCCCTTCGAGCGGTTTTCTATAAAGTACAAATCTTTGTAATCCCAGGCTATCTGTAATCAGAAGCACATTTATAACTGGAATATAATTTAATTTCATTCACATGTGTTTCATAAACACATAATCCTTTATGGATTACAATCCGCCATCAAAATGATACATTTAATTATTCTGGCTGCTTTGAGAAAAGGCTATAAACGATCCTCCACCTGCAGGATCCTCACAGTCACATGCGATAGCCTAGTAGCTGGGACAACTTCTTTATGTTTACAGACGTGACGTAATGACGCAGTGCCATGCTCGAATTTCCCGCGAAAACCTACCTGTACCACTCAAATTAGAAGGATCATTTTTAACCAAAAAAAGTTACGGACTGCAGCTTTAATGAATGGCTATATAGCATATACTGTATATTCTTTATTTTCTATTATTTTGTTTTATATGAACATTTAAGTAACAAGAAGAAAAACCACAACTATTACAGAGAACCAATATAAAGTTTTATAGTTTATGGTTCACTACCTCTTTATATTTTTAGTTGTCATTCTCAGTTTCTAAATCAAAGGTCATACAACTTCCGCTGGTGTCTTTGTGCAAATGTTCCGTCTAATCATGCAAACATTATATACAATAATGCTAGATTTAATGCCAATTAACACTGCACTGACAGACAACCAAGTACAGTACATCACATTCCAAAACCTGACAAACACTAGCTGGGTTTCCATCCAAAGTTGCAAATTAAACTTGTGTGCAAAATTGGAATATCGCATAAAACATTTGTGAAGAAGCACAGTTTCCATCCAACGAGTCAAAAAGAACAAAATCATTCCTGAAATCACTTTTAACGAAATTTACATTAGCTCTGCCCAGCAATGTCTGTTTGGGACACTCAAGATTTAAAAAGAGACACATTTAATTCAACGTCTTTAGTGGTGTAGTCAGTAGAGTGTAAGACTTTCAGAAATGGCTTTTGACGCAATGACCCGGGTTCGAATCTGCCTTTTGCCGAGCTATATATAAATCACTTACACTCTATGGGCCTCATTCATTAAACATGAGCAGAAGGATTTTTTGTATAAATTGTTCATGAAGCCGTTCTGACAAACTCTGAAATTCATTAGTTGAAAATGAAAATGTTAGTTGGTACTAAAGCAATGTTCAACTGCTCCCTACCATGTGTAATGGTGCGTAAAACATTGTCTTTTTAATAAAAAATTTTTTTTCACACATTAACAACGCAATGCATCATAAAAACGGTTATATTCCACAGCTCTAGTTGACACAGCAAACACAGGAAGGGTGTGGGAAATGTCATGGCAGATACACTGTATCTGTTACTCAGAAAAAGCAAAGAAGATCAGCATCAAGTCAGTTAGTAATTTTACCAGTATAGGAATCTACTTAGCAAAGAAGCACCTGATGGAGCAACTGATCCGAAATAAATATTTTAAGAACATGATGAGACTTTAGGGGAATTTCTTGCTTCATTTCTTTAGCCACCACGTGTTCACACCAGATGAATCAACACTGACTCAGAGATAGGGTTAATGCTTCAGAACAATGACAGTCTTAGTAAGTCACAAGGGAAGAATTGTGTCACGCTGATACTTTTACCAGCTAAACAGAAGTAAAAAAAAAAACAAGACAAAGTTAAGCATGAAAAGGTTTCGGGATTTCAGAAACAAGACTGAAAGTCAGAATGGAAACTTGGCAGGATTTTTTGTCAGCAATCAAAATATCTAGGTTCACAGGTTATAAATAACTAACTTTTAAGCATTAATTTAATCTTACACAATCACATACAATTATAACACTATATAACCACCAGCTGTCTGAATGCCTTAAACTATTCAATAAATCTTTTTTTTTTTATACTGAATCCAGTTATACTGAAATACTGAATACCACAAAGCCCTTTTGCAAAGCAAAAAAAGCCTTCCAAGCCTAAAATTGAAAAATAAATTATTTTCATTATCTTTACACAAAATGGTAAAATGAGGTTATTATGCCTTTAACAGTTTTAAAAGACAAGTACTACACTATGAAAAGCTCATTATCTTCCACCCTGTATATGGTAACGCTGGTACTTTCCAGGCAGCCTTGGGACTTTCCGCCCAACCCACAGCTTTAGTTCTGACTTTCATTCTCACTGATGTGGGCGGATGTTATTTTTTTTAAACTGACAGTATCAAACTCATCAGCTTTTTTTGTTTTGCTTAACTGATGGGTTAGAAATAAGTTCAAAGAAAATGTTTGCATAATTAGTTGGCATTTAGAAATGTAAAACATTTTAAGACTGATATGACAAGCCAGGTGAATAATGTTCTTACCTCATACTCTTTCAGAGTTCCAGACCAACTACATCCGTCATTTCGGCATTTGGCAGGCAAGCTATCAATTTCTCTTCGTGCGGCATTATCAGGAAATGCCTATGGGGGAGTCAAAGACCATGGAATTTTCGTCATTAATGAGCACCTTTTGTATTCCTGTAACTCAGTGTTTCTCAACCCTGGTCCTGAGCGCCCCCCAACACTGCACATTTTGTATGTCTCCCTTATCTGACATCCATTTCAGGTCCTGGAGTTTCTTTTAATGAGCTAATGAGTTGAATCAGGTGTGTTTGATTAGGGAGACACACAAAATGTGCAGTGCTGGGGGGGGCGCCCAGGACCAGGGTTGAGAAACACTGCTGTAACTGCTAAACATTACACCAGTGCAAGTACATTTGCCAGGAATGTATACTCTGAATAGGAGTTACCAGGAAATAAAAACAATGATAGAATTACAAGATTAAGTAAAGTCAAGTCACCTTTATTTATGTAGGGCTTTAATTCATATAGATTGTTTCGAACCAGCTTCACAATAATAAACAAGAAGAGAACAGAATCAACTATGGCACTTACCACTGCAATATTGAGCATTGACATTGCCTCTTCAAATATACCCTCAGCACGACAGGTTTCGCAGGGTATGGGCCCTGAGCTAATGAAGAGAAAGATTTTTAAAACTTTAACAGTGCAGCCTTCAAAGGAGAGTATGGCGAAAAAGGCAAACTATAAGTATTGAACTATAAGCAAACTATAAACACCACAATTTTGGAAAAGCATTAATATACAGCCTTTGATAATGGAAAGATTGAAAGTAGCATATGCACAATAATACATAAAAGTGAAACATGAGGAAGGATAAAGTTATTGCAAGAAAGGTTGGGAAGATTTCAAGAAGGATTTACCCACATTACTAAACTACATTACACTAAATTTTATCTTCTCATTTTAGACTACATCCTATAAACCCTTTTTCAGTTAGTAAACGTGTCGTTTTTTTTATGGGCAGAGCTTAGGTGGAGGCAGAAAGATTCCAGACTGCTTCACTAATGCTAGCTAACAAGTTTTGTTTGCTTGTTTTTTAACAATGACTGGAGAAAATTCGATTTTATTTGAATATGTAATGTCACTCACTGTCCAGCACCACAATTGCTATTTGAAAATATTATCTTTAACAGAAGGAACCAGACTGGCTGACTCGTACACACTCATCTCAATGGATGGACGATCTGACAGGAGTGGCCCGACACACCTATCAGATCCGAGCGTGTATAGTAAATAGAAACTGAGGACATATAAATCTTTAAATGCCTATAACTATGTACTAACAGTGACAATTGTAAGCAAATGCAACTACTTGAACACACACCTGACACATAACATGTTCCACTGTTCCCTCCCTCTACAATTGCCATTAGTGCACAATCACAAAAGCGAGAAGACACAAACGGTTTTCCTTTATGTTTAACCTCTGGTCGTTAGTTAACTTGTTCCCCAATATATGATTAGGTTGGCATGCATGAGAAATCTTTAGACTTGGAACCAAACCATAATCCGAACCAACAAAAGACAAGTTTATTTAACCTTAAAGGGGTCATATGATGCTGCTAAAAAGAACATTATTTTGTGAAGTGTGCGCTGCAAATGACAGCATTTTTGATGATCGTTTCTGCCTAGTCTGGTCGTTTTATTGCGTTTAACCACAGTTGTCATCGGTTTTTTGTATGGCAGTGGCAGCGGGTATGCGATAAAATTTCAAATTGGAGCCTGTACTCCATTGATTCTGACACTTAACAACACAACAAGATGACATTTTACGCTCCTTATGTAGCTGATTCTGTGCTGGTTTGTATTTGATAAATTTAGTTATCCCTTTGTTTTGCCTCGAGCTAATGCTGTGACATGATTGTGACGTCGGCACTATTCTATAGATAGATTGGAATATAATTTACAAGGAATGGAATAAGATGTAGGGCAGTATTAAGTAAATAAAAGTGGTATTGCACATTTTTCTTATTGTACAGTAGGGTAGAACATTTAACTGTTCATGAGGTAGATTGCCTGAGGGAAGAACATTTTCTTGTGCCTGGCAGTCCTGGTGTTCAGTGCTCTGTAGCGCCGACCCGTCTGAAAAAGCGAGGTGTGCTGTGATTGGCCAGCTATCCAATGCGTTGTGACTGGCCAAATACCTCAAGCGTGTGACGGAAATGTTACGCCTCTCACCATACTGTTGTATTCCCTCAGCGACCAGCACGGATCAGCTCTAGGCATGACGAAGCGGATATCGTCCTCTTTTGGAAGACCAAACAAAGTAGTTTCGCTTTCACAACAAAGCACACAGCGTCTTCACGACATGGCTGCAGTGTCAACAAAACTACAGTGAGACTAAAAGTTACGCCTTCTTTCTTTGCGTGAACATTTGGGCGGCGTTATGCAAATCTTCCCACAGAGCGACGTAGGTATGTGGGGGCGTGTTAGAACGAGCCGTTTTAGGTAGATGTGGCTGACTCTTAACTTTTATAAAGAATATCTCTTTGGATTTGAGACTTTAGTCTTTGCAACTTTACAGATCTTTATGCACCAAGAGCTTGTAACACTCCAAAGAGAAAGGAAAAATTGAAATCGCATCATATGACCCCTTTAACTGATATGAAGTGTGCGCTGCAAATGACAGCATTTTTGATGATCGTTTCTGCCTAGTCTGGTCGTTTTATTGCGTTTAACCACAGTTGTCATCGGTTTTTTGTATGGCAGTGGCAGCGGGTATGCGATAAAATTTCAAATTGGAGCCTGTACTCCATTGATTCTGACACTCAAAGATGACATTTTATGCTTTTTATATAGCCGACTGTGCTGGTTTGTATTGGCCACCTCCAGTTATCCCTTTGTTTTGCCTCCAGCTAATGCTGTGGCGTAATTGTGACGTCGGCACTACAAGGGTCTATACTGGCTGACTTATTAAAAAAAAGCTTCAAAGGCTGTATGCAAACTGACATTTATCTGAGCCACATGTAAATGACGGTTAAAGTTCTTCCATGCTAGTACCAATATCACTATGACCACAGGTACTTTTCAAAGTAAAGGCAATAAAATGGTAAAACAAATACATATATAATCCCAACATTTCTTGCAACTGAAAATGAAACAATATTTAAAACTTTCTTAATTTAAACACGTTCTTGTATTTTTTTAGGTGGACAATGAACAATCATAGATATTTTGTTATAATACAGATTTTAACATTTTAAATCACTGATATTTGTCATATAAACATACAGACAAGCCTGTACTGACAAATTCCATATCAATCTTGCTCACCATAAGGGGGAGATAAAATGTTTAATGGAAGAAAAAAATAAGCTAGTCTCAGCCTCACACAGACCCTTTATGGGCCATTCACAGAGCACCTAATTTTATTGGTGTTTCAGTCATGAACGAATCCCACTTCTGTATAGTTTGTGCGTTCATGGCTTTTTCCTGCCTTCAAAGTCTGACTATAGCAGATTATAGGCTTATAGGTGATTGAGCATATTATCAATAGGACAAGGTTTTTGACCGAACACACCCGAGTTGCGGTTTTGAGTCTGAATTAACTGGCAAGTGGAGTGGAACTGAACAATAAATTTCAAAAAACTAAATAAATTAGGAATGCTATTCGTCAAAGAAGACCAACAATGAATGCACAAAAGGGAGATATATTTCTAACTGAAACAGAATATTGAATAGAGGGCTAGGTTTTATTTTAGCCCTCCAGCTCTTCTTCTCTCACTCACAGCAAACTAATGGTTGGAGGGGAGTGGTTAAGGATACTCTGCCCAAGCTGTCAAACTGATCTCATCAGAGAACAAACGCCATTCCACAGTGGAAGCGAATTTTCAGATTTTGATTAAAGATTACAAAGACAAACTATTTCTTTCTATGGATTAACTTCATATTCATTCTGATTCATTGTTCACCTCAAGACTACAACAGTGCTAAAAAAGTAAATAGTGAAATAGTGTAAATTTTGATTTCATGCAGACTTTTAAGAAAGAATGTTTCAGATTGAGTCAGTAAGCCACTTTTCATTAGTTCACTTCATTTTACTGCAAATTTGTTTTTAAACAAGACAGTTAGACGCAGGCTTTATATTTATAAATTATTATTATACAGCATTAATTTTTTTTGACAAGACATTTCTAAGACATGTCTTCGTTTAATGTGGTTATCAACAGTTTAATAATTTAGCTCTACGTCATCTTAATTTGTGACCATCACTCTTCTACTCTTTTTGAAAAAAAACGAAAAAAAAAAAAACAACTTGTTTATGAACACAACATTAGTTGTGTCAAATAAATATTTGTCCTAATAGTATAAAATCACTATAAAGTTGAAAATATAGCCAAATGACTGACACCAAGGTAAAGCTCTCCAAAGACTGAAAATATCCTAGAATATATCCACAGAGGTAAGTGAATTATATCCAGATCGAAGGACAACCCTTTGGGTTAAGAGGCAAAAGAGTGGATCAACATCAAGCAAAAGGAGTCATATTTTTCCATCTAGCTACAGTGCAGTGGTGGATTAAAGGGATTGGAAATGTCCATGGAGAGGTTGGCAATTAATGCAGAGCAAGAGGCAGAGGATTGCCCTGGGTACCTGGTGAGTTGTTTGAAACAGAACACACAGAAGCGATGTCCACACTGTGCTTGGAAAGGTTTCCTAAGAATGTCTTTGCACTGCTGACATTGATATTTTGGTTCCATGGACACGGACAGCACTTCTCGAGATATCCCAGGCAATCTGGAGTCCAGTGAGGATGGTAAAGATGGACGTGCCATTGCCTTCCATTTACCCACAGTGCCAGCTGTGCTGATCATCTGTAAAAATTAGCACAATTTAGCAGAATAACAACAGACATGTTGTAACACCTTTGTTTAAAATCAACATAAAATTACATTTACAAATATTTTAACTTCCATCATATGACATCTTTATTAGTGAAAGATGATATTCAACAACATAAAAAATGTAGGGTTGGACTTGAAAAATGGAGTCAGACCAGAATGTGAAAATGCTGTAAATTTTTACTTCATAAAGCCTGCATTATTGTGTGCACAGTAAGACCAGAAAGCTTATTATTAAGATTATTAAGATAGTAAATAGGGTCCCTTTAAATTTCACATTGACTTGAATGCATATATGAACATTATAAGATTAAAATCAAACAAGCACAAAGGCTGACATGAAAAAATTAGGTATTGCTTAACTTGGTATGTCACACCGAAAGAGACCAGTCTTGTGATTTTTGGGCAAACCGTTCAAAAGTTAAGCAAAATAAAAAAAAATTAAAAGAAAGAGGTTAAACATTTTTCACATATCCAGACCACTACGTGGCACTGTTCCAAAACGGAGCAGGCAACCTCAGGTCAGCGTTGTCATAAAAAACAAATTTGGTCTGAATACTTTAAAGCGTTCCAGAGATATAGCCTCATGTCCATTTTGGCGTGCTTTTTGTCAAATTCTTTTGCACATTGTTCAAGGACTGTTTGACTAATCAACTTGAATTCCATACCTTTGTGCCAGCATGGTCTGAATTTGATCTGAGCCAATTTTGGTGAAAATCAGATAAACAGTCTAGGGAGAGTTTGAAAAATAATGTTTTTTAAATGATTAAAAATTTCGAAAAATTTTGACAAGTAGAAATTACAATTTTGTTATGCATTTGTCATGAGCCAAGGAAAAAATAATTTTGCTTCTAAAGTTTACAGTTCAAAAGTTATTAGCATAAACATGAGTAATTTGAGCTGTTGTGGTGGCACTAGAAGGTTTGAGTTAGAGACTCCAAACTTGCTATGGTTAATGCTGAGACTGTCCTCTATCCAAGTGCCAAATTTCATAACTTTCCCCCAAGCGGTTCTATGGGCTGCCTTAGACTCAAGAGCAGAAGAATTAGAAGAAGAAAAAAGGAAGAAAAATAATGGATACTACAATAGGTGCATATGCAGTATGCACCTTTGGTGCTTGGCCCATAAATAGCATCAAAGTATAGGTATATCATAAGCACCATCAGAATCTTTTTGTTAATTTGTTATCGGTTATAAATAATGGGCATGTTAACACTACTGAAACTTCATTTAAATTGGTATGCTAATTATTTCTAGTTGTTTTACCATGCTGTTGCCTATGGAATTGGAACAGAGGTGTGAATTACAAATTATGTTTTATAATATACTGCCTAAAGCTGGTTTCTGTTCAAAACAGGTTTCGGTTTCATTTAAACGGCAACACTTTAAAAGGTTCCATTTGAAAACATTTAAGGTACCATGAACTAACAATTAACAATATTTATACAAAATTTGGTCCCACTTTATATTAAGTGGCCCTAATACCTGTGTACTTGCATAGTAACTAGATGTGTACATAGTATGCAACCACATCATATCGATGATCATATCGGGATCATATCGATTGGAACACAGTTCATGCACGTAGCTCACTTCTAACGAGCTGGTTATCTGAATCGGGTGTGTTAACTAGAGGTCGACCGATATGGGTTTTTCACTGGCCGATGCTTAGAAATCAGGGCATTTCAGGGCAATTCATCTCATAAAAGTGAGTTTGAGTAAATGACTACTGCAGGGTACAAAATAGTAGTAGCCTAATTCAGAGTAATAATACATGGCTCAAAACTTAAGCACCTTCTCAAAACAGTTCTGAAGCATG